TATATATATATATATATATGTTTATACATATGTTAATATTCTGGGTTTAAACTAATGAGCAATTGTATTAAATATTGAATTCCATGATGTTGTAAAAAGAATAAATATACATATGTGTATATAAAATCATTAAGTTTTAATGAACGATCTCGCAGTAAGGAAGTCACGTGAGTTTGAACGATGATCGGAATTTGTCGCGATTAAGTTTCTCTACAGCAAGTTTCGTTACGAGAATAGATGCTTGAATGGCTCGAAGGGATTAGAGAAACGCGAGATCATTATTTATGCCTTTGCTCGGCACCATACGAGAGCTATCCTGCTTGTTGGGTCTTACGTCTACCTGTTTAAATTTATCATACGTCATGAGTTCTCCAGCTCTGCGTGCCTCCACGACTTTTGCAATAAACGAGCTTTAACTTTTCCATGACCGATGTGATTTCTAAAAAATTCTTCTTTTTTTCTTTTAAATATTTATAATATTTATTTGTCATACCTTTGATTAGAATTATCACGTGTATATATATATATACATTTTTTGGTATTACGATTCAAACTCGTTTCAATCTAATCTCAAATGATTTTTTATTTTTATAAACCTAACTATAATTTTATATTAGTATAATAATATAAAATTACAAATATATATTAAATTAAATTATAATGTCAAATTTTTATATATATATATATATATACATGCGTGCACATATTACCGCGTATAAAAAGTTAAACAAAAATAATGTCTTGGTATGCACATACTCGCCGATTACTAAACGCATAACACAAAAATTTGATATTATTCATATTTAAATGTGAATATAATATCGAATATATTTTAAAATAGAAATAAACAATATTACGAAGTGAATGAATTCCAACAAGCGTTAAGATCATTCGGATAAGGATGAACATGTACTATACGGGAATGAGACAAGAAGTAAAATCGAACATGCGGTATGTTGGTGTAGAGAAGAAGTGCGTAGATTATTCAGATTGAAAATCGCTCGTTGCCGACGGATCGGTGGCTATTAGCGTGCATAACGTCGTTGTTGCTCGTTAAGCTAATAAATTAAACAAGCCGCTGGAACGAGCGTTATAATTACGACGATGTCACACCGTACGTAGTTCGCGCCTCGATTCCGATTATCGTTTCAGGACGACCACGACATATCCTCCTGCATCCTATGTAAAATTCTCCACGAGTCTTGATCATTTTCAATATTTTTCTTTTCTTTTCTTTTCTTTTCTTTTCTTTTTTTTTTCCTCCCTCTTCTTCTTCTTCTTTTTTACTTCAATCTTACGTTAATCGACATACCGATCGTATCGTTTTCTCTTCGTTATCTTATATATTTTTCTACAAACCATCTTATAGATATATATATTTATCTAATTAATTCATTCCTATTTTTAATGTAATTTTTATTTGTTTTTTTTATTTTTGTATATCATCGAAGTTGTGCATCGATAAGAATTTATCTAATGGATAATCGATTTATTTCGAGATAAATTTAACTTAATTGCAGATAAGTTTTATACGTTGTTAATTAGGTATTCCATTTTTTTCTTTTTTTTTTTTTACTTTTAAATAATTAAGTTACAATTTTATCAGGATGTCTCATGTGATCGAAGTTAACTCGAATTAAAATATAATTCTAGCGGAATTGCAATTTACAAATTTTTTTTTTTTTAAATATTCGTATCTAATTAACGAATAATTAAATATTTATGATTAACACATACACAAATTAACGCGCATGCACAAAATCATAGATATAAGAATATTTTAATATATATATATCAAATTATGCAATAATATTTTTCTAATAATTTTTCATAATAAAAACTTTGTCATTTCATTCATTGAAATTTAGTGAAACATTCCGATAAATCAATTCTCGGATTAATAGAAATGTTAATAAATTTATCCACTTTATTATTATCGAGTTATAACACGAAGTATTGTTTGTTCATAACAAGATATGCAAATAATAATAAATAAACATGGAAATAAATCGTCTCACAATTTTCCTCCAACACTAAGATACCTGATTTGAATACAATGCTTGTATAAATATACTTGTATGTCCGACGAATCACTAATTGCGAAATGCGATCGATCTTTACGAACGATCTATCGATCCTTGTTGTTGATCTTTTCGACGACAAAATTCGTCCGGTTAATTTTACGCGTGCGAATTTAACGACGAAGAGGAAGACGACGACGACACGGATTTATCGTTTTAGGGCGGTAACTCCTAAGATAAGGGGACGAGGGAGAGGTGGGGGAGGAATCAAAGAGAGAGAGAGAGAGAGAGAAAGAGAAAACAAGATCCTACTAGAAATTGATTGAATATTTATGAAGCTTGCGCGTATTGATTTATACCTAAAACCTTTCAGAGTTAACTTTCATGAATATATTATTATCACGATCGATCTAAAGATTTAAATCATTCTTCTCGAGCTTACTATCGCCTCTCGCTGACACGAAACTTTATGAATAATTATTAAATCCTATAAGTTCTAAGGTGCCGATTAAAAAAAAAAAAAAAACAAAAAAATTAGATGAAAGAGAGAAAAAAGAAGGGAAAACGCGTGTACTCCACACGCGACCGAAGTTAAACTTATTTAGCTTTTTATATTGATATTATAACTATATTGAATTATATATATCAGATTATTAATTAATTTTTTCTTCACACTTATACAGTGTACACGAAAAGGAAAAATTATTAAAAGTAACTATAAATAAATATAATTGTAAATAAAAACCTAATGTCTCTCGGAGGGTGATGGTGGGGGGGGGGAGTGGTAACATATGAGAATGTTTAAATCAACATAAATTGAAAAATTATCGTTGATCGTAAAAAGGTTTTAAATTAATTTTAAATTGCACTTTGCACATATATGAATCCATGAATCACGCGGTAACATTATGCATAGAATTAATTTTTTCTACAATATTTTTTATAATGTCAACAGGATGTCGTTGCAACATGATAGGATCAATCAGTTCAGCATGCGATATAGTGACCGGCCAATGTCAATGCAAATCTCATATAATCGGTAGACAATGCGATCAATGTCAGGTGAGTTCTTTTTCTTTTTTTTTTTTCTTTTTTTTTTATTTTTCTATCCTTCACGCAAATAAAAAAAATTTCTCTCGTAAAATCGTATTCGTAATCGGCATGAAATTTCATCGCAGACAGATTACTGGGGCTTGACAACAACGGCAGGATGTACACCGTGCAATTGCGATCCCATAGGTGCTTTTAATTCTTCCTGCCAACAAAATACAGGATCGTGTTATTGCAGACCAGGTGTGGCTGGTACACGTTGCGATAATTGTCTTACCGGTTATTATGGTTTCTCGTCTAATGGTTGTCAAAGTGAGTTAATTGTTCCAATTTTGTCAATTTTCATTTCATCCGAAATATGAAATCCTACTTTTTATTTTCATTTATAATCTATATTTACTATATACAAAATATTTGTTTTAATTAAAAAGGATGCGATACCTGTGTAAGACCAGGACACATATGTGACCCCGATACAGGACGTTGTGTTTGCCCAAGCTTGACCTATGGTGAACACTGTGATCGATGTAGACCAGGTTCATGGAACCTTATTCCAGGAATTGGGTGCAAATCATGTGCCTGCACCTTAGGTTCAACGAAATCTCAATGCGATAATCGAGGTCAATGCGTTTGCAGAATCGGTTACGATGGTCTTAGATGTGAAAAATGTGCTAAAGGTTATTATGGTTATCCGAGATGTCATCCGTGTGGTTGCAATCCTGCTGGTACACATACTTGTAACGGAGAAGTTTGTGATTGTAATGAAAGTGGCCAATGTCCTTGTAAGGTATTATAATTAATATTGTATTCATAATATTATATTCAATATTTATGCGTATCTTAATCAGACACCGCTATTTTATAAGATCTTAGAAAATGGTAAATTTATTATTTTATTTTTGTTTTAAATTTGTTTACGCGTCTATGTAAAAATTATTTGCTTAATTACTAAATAATTATATACATGAAATGTGATATAATTTTGTTTTCTTCACATTTGCATATAAATTAGGAAAACGTCGTAGGCAGGCAATGTGATTTGTGCAAGAACAGTACCTTCGGTTTGGCTAAGGACAATCCAAAGGGTTGCACCGAATGTTTCTGCTTTGGTAGAAGCAAACATTGTCAACAGGCTGGTTTCAGTTGGGGATTAAGAAGAATTCAAAAACCTAGGACACTTTATATCAATGAATCGGTCAACGATATTATGGTGAACTTTCCTAAAATAATTTATGCACTCTATAATCGTTCTAATTAATGAATTATTTATTTATTTATATTCCAATTGTAGATTACCGATTCAAGTTCAACGGCAACGTTTGTTTCCTCCAACGGTGAATTAGAAGTTAAGAATGATTTGACAATAATTCCGAACTCAGAAGGAGACGTAATCCTTCCGGCTAATTTCTATTACAATTATCCTCTTTATTGGAGATTACCCTCAACATTTTTAGGCGACAAGGTATAAACAATGAAAATCCTTACTTTCCACACAAAAATATGTAATCATTTAAATGAATCATCTAATAATCAAGGTTATATCTTATGGCGGATTATTACGTTTTTCGACATCAACCGATGGTGGAATATCATTGAGAACAACACACAAATATCCACTTGTCCAATTGCAAGGAAACAACAGGATCATATTAGAATATTACTTGCACACACCTGTTAAGGATAATCACTATGAAGTCAGGTATAAAGAAACAAAAACAAACTCTTTGAATATCTTCAAGTGACAATATATTTCTTTGTAGATTTCACGAATCTTTATGGCAATTATACGGCAGACCGGATTACAAAGTAACGAGAGAAGTATTAATGGTTGCTTTACAAAACGTTCAACAAATTATCATCAAAGCTACGGACAATGCGGATTTCACTAAAACGAGGTAATCCAATAGCAACGATTAATACCACCACTTGTTGACGCGTATATTCAATTAGAACAAATAAGAAATCATAGTACGTAATCGTATAAAAAGAAAAAAGAAAAAAAAAAAAATATGCAAATTTGATTGTTAGCCTGTTGGAAGCATCGATGGAAGCTGCAGTATTAATTCACACCCATTCACCACCACTGGCAAGTGGTGTAGAGATTTGTCAGTGTCCTCCGGAATATAACGGGACATCTTGTCAAGATCCAAGTATTGGTTACTATAGATCGTATGAAAACATAAACGTCACGTCGACCATAGTAATTGATCTTGTGGGACAGGCTATGCCATGTCAGTGCAGCGGTAGATCAGAGATATGTGACAGAGAGACGGGATATTGTCAAGTGAGTGACTAGGATCTTCTCTAACTGCTTGTCGTACATAACGAACCGTGTAATCGTAAACACCATAGGTATCTACATACCTAGATAGTTAGATGATACTGTATAATGTTTCATGGACGTGTGTCTATGTTATTTTATTTGTAGAATTGCCGAGGGAACACCGTTGGCCAGAGATGTGAGATCTGTGCGGATAGTTTTTACGGACACCCCGATATAGGTGGTTGTAAACCTTGTCCATGTCCACAGGTTGATAAAAGGTTCTCGAGTAGCTGTATCGTTCGGGATGATAGCGAACCAATTTGTCATTGCAAACCTGGTTGGTAAATTATTTTATATTATTACATTTTTGTACTCCCATTTTACGAGTTCGAGTCACTTATCTACTAAACACCTTCTCAATCTTATATAATACTACCAAAGAGGTTGACTCTCTGGAATCAACGGTAAACGGTTTTTATTTTTATTAAAAATATCCATGTTGTTTTACTTTAATGAAAAAAAAAAAAAACTAACAATCTAACGTGACTAGGCCATTTATCGTGTATATAAATTATTTTATCATATAATATTTTATATATAAAATATTACAATATACAATTTTATAAATGACATGTTCATTTGTTGTTTTGTTTTCAACACACAGGTTATACCGGTAGAATGTGCGAACGTTGTACACACAATTATTATGGTTTCCCTAATCTACCTGGTGGCCAATGCGTACCATGTAATTGCAATTTGGCTGGTAGTACGAGTGACAGATGCGATCATAAAACAGGACAATGCAATTGTCGTTCCGGATCAACTGGAAGGGATTGTTCGCAATGTACGGCTTATCGTCACGTTTACATTGATAACGTTTGCACGTGTGAGTACATTATACGATAATATTATTATACATTGTTCTATTGTTAAATCATTGGTATCCTAATGTTTAACAATTTTTAGCATGCAACGACAACTGTACTGGTCTATTATTGGATGACATTGATTCAATGATGGAAGAACTCGCTGTTGGTACTTCACACATTGCTGACGGTTACGTACCTCCCCCCTGGGAGGAATTAAATTACGTCGATTCTAATGCAAGCCTTCTGCTAGGCCAATTTAAATTGCAAAGTCAACTTAAGGAAAGAATGAAGAACGTGCCCTGGTACGAATACAAAAAGATCATGAAAAATGCTGAAACTTTGTTAAGAAATGTACGTACTTTAAACTCAGTTCAGTGTTTTAAGAGTCTGACTAAAATTCATCAATTATTTTTCAAAAAAAATGTGTGTGTATGTGTGTGTGTTGGAGGGGGAAAGGATGAGTGTGCATGGGATTTTTTTGTTTCCATCATTTTTCATGCAAATTATTGTTTTTAATATCAAAAAGGAAATCTTTCGATTGTATTGTTTGCAGGCAAACGAACAGGTCAATCGTGGCAATTTATGGAAAAACAAATCGAACGATCTAAAAAATAATATTTTCAGTGCACAAATTGAAATTCGAAATCTTCGCAAACGTATTGAAGGTAAATTATATTGTTGGAAAATAATCTCGTAATATATTTGTATTTTTTTTTTGTCGATAAAATTTTAACATTGTTTTTCTTTCTTTTTAGACACTATCTCACAATTGAATTCTTACGGTGACGATAACAAAAGGATTGAAATAAAAAATGCTTTGGAAATAGCGAGAAAGATATTGCACGATCTGAAAAATGTTAATTTATCGAAGAAAACGATAAAAATTGAAAAATTCATCGAGTAAGCGTCGAACAACTTTGAATTAATTTTATTCCCTTATATAAGAAAATAAAAAAGCATAATATTATAATAAAATGAATAAATTTTAAATCTGATTTACAGTGACACCGATGATTATATCAATTGGTTAAATTCGGTTTACAATTCGACGGAACCGATAACAATACTCCAAGAGGATACGGATGATTTTATTTTAAAAATGAACGATATGAACAAAATCTTGGAAGAAACGATGGAAATTTTATACACCTACGACGGACTTTACAAAGATATTAATAAAACTTATATCGAGTTTGAAAATTATTGCGATAAAATAAATAAATTAACGAAAGATATCGATAATATAGAGGATGGTAAACAATTGATCGAAGAAGCTAAAGGATTCATAATCGATACGCAAAATGATCTTCAAGTTGGTATAATTTAAAAGAAAAAAAAAAAAACAAAAAAAGAAGAAAATAATTTTTATCTGAAAATATGTAAATAATATATATTTTTAGGATCTTCCGGATTTGGAAAAGAAATTATCATATTGGATCGATCAATTGCACGTTAGGGAAGAAATATTGTACAGATTGAATTACGAGTATAACGATAAATACGTTTTACCGGCAATAGAACATGCGAAAAATTTATCCAATTACGTGGACGATTACGTTAGGTACGTAAATCATTTTCTTTTTTCTTTTTCTACAATTATTATTATTATTATTATTATTATTATTATTATTATACATAAATATTTTCAT